GTTAGAAAATATTTTTTAAAAAAATTAATATTTTTTATAATAATACTATTTTTCAAATGTGTCCAAGCCCCAAAAGTAGAAAGTTCATGTGACCCGCCCCCTTGTATTCTGACCCATGTGTATAAGCCCCAAATACACACTGTATTTGTGTTAAGGCCCCAAAGTATCGGACCCTGAGAAAAACCCAACAAAAGTTACAAATTTACCCTTTGATTTGATTGAGCTTGGTAACTGCGCCCTCTCTCTCTCCCCTCTATCTCTCAACTTCTTCTTCTCTCTCACTTCCGTCATGGCCACTGAAAATGATCAGACCCTGGGGAGGTCGTGGAAGGCGAAGGTGAGGACGGTGCTCATGGAGTCGGAGGTCGGGGAGTCATCTTGGAAACAGCTGGTGAACGCGGGTTCAACGACAAACACGGAACATGGTCCAGTGGGACCCGCGAGCTGACGGAGCCCGGAGCTTTGGTCCGATGCATCGTTGTTCTCCCCTTTCTAAGTTACGGAATATCTTTACCCAAATCAATGTCTTAATCAAGATAGTGCTCTTGTTTTCTTGTAATTTATGAAGGGAATCGATATTGGGTTTTTGTAGTTTTTCTCTTTCATTTAATTGAAATGGGATCTCCTTGGATTCTTGAACAGCGGTTTGGGTTTTCCTTTAATGCCTTTTTCTTGTGTGATTTGATGATTGACAGAGTTCTATATAAGAGATTAACAGCAGAAATTTTCAAAATCTCACATTGAATCTTCAGGCATATCGACATTTAGCTCAAAATTGAAAACAATGTGATTAAAAGTCGACTAAAGAACCTAAGAACCTGTGAATTTGAAAGGGGGGGCAAGGAAAATTAGAACTATGAATGTTAGTTCTAAGGGCTGGAATGTTAGTTCTAAGGGCTGGAATGTTAGTTCTAAGGGCTGAACTGTTAGTTTTAAAGGCTGGACTGTTAGTTCTAAGGACTGGACTGTTAGTTCTACCAGCTTTCATGTTAGTTCTGTCATATCTTACGTTAGTTCTACCCGCTTTCATGGTAGTTCTGTTATCTCCTACGTTAGTTCTGTTCGCTGCCATTTTAGTTCTGTTCATTCTACCTTCTTTATGAGAACATTATAAACAACAATATCAGAATGAACACCATTTTTAAGCATCATTCTATAAAGTTTAAACCTAGCAATTAGATTGCCATGCTTGCACAAGCAATCGACCAAACTGCAGTATGCTACAGCATCTGGCATAAATCCCCTCTTTAGTATTTGAAAGAAAATTATTGCTGCTTCCTTCAACATTCCTTGCCCAGCCATTCCCTTGAGAAGGATGGTGAAAGTAACTATATCAGGTATGAGCTTGTGTACTCCCAATTGTCTATAGATTTTATGTTGGTGAAAGTAACTACATGAATTAGAACTAGAACTAACATGAAGTGAGTTACAATCAACATAAAATGAGTTAGAACTAACAAAGAGCACAAGAGCCTAAAACTAACATGAATTAAAACTAGAACTAACATGCAGTGGGTTAGAATTAACATGAATTAGAACTAGAACTAACATGCAGTGGGTTAGACAAAGAATAAGTTAGAACTAACATGAATTAGAAATAGAACTAACATGAAGTGAGTTAGAACTAACAAAGAGCAAGTTAGAACTAACTTTAAGTGAGTTAGAACTAACAAAGAGCAAGTTAGAACTAACTTTAAGTGAGTTAGAGCTAACAAAGAGCAAGTTAGAACTAACAAAGAGCAAATTAGAACTAACTTTAAGTGAGTTAGAACTAACAAAGAGCAAGTTAGAACTAACTTTAAGTGAGTTAGAACTAACAAAGAGCAAGTTAGAACCAACATAAAATTAGTTAGAACTAACAAAGAGCCCAAGAGGCCCAAGGCCCAATCAAAGACTTTTAAATATATATTGTAGGTGTAGGAGTTTGAACTCTAGATCTCCTCTCCAAATTACCAAGCTTTACCACTAGACCAAGTAGCCAAAGTATTAATGTTAGATCCACTTAAAGTTAGCTCTTACTTGCCATTAGAACTAACATGAAATAAGTTAGAACTAACATGAAATAAGTTAGAACTAACTTGAAATAAGTTGGAACTAACATGAGTTAGCTCATGATAGAATTTAAAAAATGGCATAAATAACTAGAGTTAGCTCATGTTTGTTCTAACGCAACTCATGTTAGTTCTAATTTTTACCAGCTCATGTTAGTTCTAATTTTTACCAGCTCGTGTTAGTTCTAATTTATTTAATGCGTTAGTTCTAGCGTAAATGTTGGGTCTAAACGTCATGTTAGTTCTAATTTATGCCATATTAGTTCTAGCTTCTCCAGTGTTAGTTCTAACAGATATCGTGTTAGTTCTAATTTATTTAAGTTGTTAGTTCTAGCGTAATTGTTGGTTTTAAACGCCATGTTAGTTCTACTTGATGACATGTTAGTTCTAGCTTCTCCAGTGTTAGTTCTAACAGATATCGTGTTAGTTCTAATTTATTTAAGTTGTTAGTTCTAGCGTAATTGTTGGTTTTAAACGCCATGTTAGTTCTACTTGATGATGTGTTAGTTCTAGCTTCTCCAGTGTCAGTTCTAACAGGTATCATGTTAGTTCTAATTTATTTAATGTGATATTCCTAGCGTAAGTGTTGGGTCTAAACGTCATGTTAGTTCTAATTTATGCTATATTAGTTCTACCTTCTCCAGTGTTAGTTCTAACTGGTATCGTGTTAGCTCTAATTTATGTAATACGTTATTTCTAGCGTACTTGCGTTATTTCTAGCGTACTTGTTGGTCTAAACACCATGTTAGTTCTACTTGATGATGTGTTAGTTCTAGCTTCTCTAGTGTTAGTTCTATTTGGTATCGTGTTAGTTCTAATTTATTTAATGCGTTAGTTCTAGCGTAAGTGTTGGGTCTAAACGCGATGTAGTTCTAATTTATGTCGTGTTAGTTCTACCTTCTCTAGTGTTAGTTCTGACAGATATCGTGTTAGTTGTAATTTATTTAAGTCGTTAGTTCTACATAATTGTTGGGTCTAAACGCCATGTTAGTTCTACTTAATGATGTGTTAGTTATAGCTTCTCCAGTGTTAGTTCTAACTTGTATCGTGTTAGTTCTAATTTATTTAAGTCGTTAGTTCTAGCATAATTGTTAGGTCTAAACGCCATATTAGTTCTACTTGATGATGTGTTAGTTCTAGCTTCTCTAGTATCAATTCTAACAGGTATCGTGTCAGTTCTAACAGGAGCTCAACTAGAACTAATATAGCCACTAGAACTAACGCTTATATTAGAACCAACACTAGCTGAAAGTAGAACTAACATGAAATCAGCTAGAACTAACACGAGAACCACCAGAACTAACATGAGCTCAACTAGAACTAACATAGCAACTATAACATGCTATAAACATATTAGTTCTACTTAAAATTAGCTCTAACATGAATTAGAACTAAGTTAGAACTAACATAAAATAAGTTAGAACTAATATAAAATAAGGTTTACCACTAGACCAAATAGCCTAAAGTATTTATATTAGTTCTACTTAACATTAGCTCTAACATGAAATAGAACTAAGTTAGAACTAACATAAAATAAGTTAGAACTAACATTAAATAACTTAGAACTAACATTAAATAACTTAGAACTAACATGAGTTATTATTCATGATAGAGTTCAAAAAAGGGCAGGAAATTTCTCTCTATTTTTTTCAATCAGATCGCATTAATGGGCGTGACTTTCCATGTATTTTGTGGACCAGACGTCTGGAGAAGATAAGTGGAGGGGTAATTTCGGGTTTTTTTTTTTAAAATACAATCTCTTTTTTTATACTGCTGACGTGGATGGGCATTGAAATATTAATTGGTACTTTTTGGGGCTGAATCACATGGGCCAAAATACAAGGAGACGGGTCACATGAACTTTCTCATTTTGGGGCCTGGACACATTTTTCCCTAATAAATAATACCTTTTAAAAAATATTATTTAATTAAAAAATATATACTTTGTGAAAATAATATCTTCCAAAAGAATAATATTTTTTCGTAGAATAATAATATTTTTTTGAATAAATATAGTTTTAAAAAATTATTTTTTAAAAAATTATCTTATAAAAATATTTTTCAGGATATTACTTTCACAAAAAACATTTTTTAGGAAAAATATTTTTAAATAATTTATTTTTCAAAACCTTTTTAAAGAAAATATTATAATAATATATATTTTTAAAATATTATTTTAAATCTTTAATGAATTTCTTTTGTTTTAAAATATTAAATAATGATTTTGAATTTTAATAAATTTTGGTCAGTCGCAATTAAGTTGCAACTATGACTTGCGACCGTTTTTGACATAAGTAATTAAAAGTTGTTTTGTAATTGTGGTTGCAACTGCAACTGTGAGTTATAACAAAACAAGCGCTTGCAACTAGAAAATTTTTACCCAGTTGCAACCACTCTGGTTGCAAGCTACCAAACGCCTCTAAGGTGAAGTGTCATATCACTGTGAAAGAAAAATGCTAAATCTATACAACAAGAGTTAATACTATTTTTTCACTACTAAACAAAGTGAGGTGATGTCGACAAAAACTCATAGTTTCTCTTTGCACGGAACAAGAAAAAAATCTCACTTTTGTGTATAGCAATAAAGAGTAGTATAACCCTTGTGTACAATTATTACTATACATTGTGAAATTTGCCCAAATCCCCACCACTCTGTAACCATTTTCAATGGAGCACACTAATTATATGTTCAAGGCACGGTCGGCCACTCATTCGTAATCTCTCGACTGATGCATTCTGGTATCAGTCTGTATCAAATTAGATACAGCATAGCACAAGCATTGCTCTTTTAACAGGAATCTGTTGCCACTGAATGCCACACAACGAATCTCCTTAGAACTAACTTCATGGACCAAGCAACTGCTCATAATTAATAGACTTCTGTAATTGAAAATATGATTTCTTTAGCACATTAATTCTAGTTATAGCTAAATCATGCAACTGACAAACTTGGGCAACAGAGACAACCTTGTCAACTAATATATATTGAGAAAAAAAAGGCAAGCAGCCTCAGTCAAGAGCTGGATTACAGTTGTTACGTAGGTCGCCCACCCATTAGTGTGCTAGCTAAACCCCATAAACACCACCACAACTTGTTCAACAAAATGGCCAATTGCCCGTCAGCGATTAAAACTATCAGTACACAACACACATCAACTGCCATTTCAACATGAACAAAATTGCCTTCTCCATTTCCTCAGAGAAGAGACCAAGTCATTCTAAAGAAAAATTTATTCCTTGTTGCGAGATGATCGGTCTCGTTTGGGCCCACCGAGGATACGAGAAATTTGCAAACCTCGACTGAATGCTTGATTGAATAGCATGCGAGTTTGGAACTCTGAAACAAAGGGGAACCAAGCCAAGAATGCAATTGGAGTGAATAAGAGAAGGCCCATGATGACTTCATAGCCTCGAGCAAGAGCCCTCACTGCTCCCCAGAAGCCAGCTTGAACAACAAGAGGTTTACAAGCTTGTGCAATCTGAATCAAGAAGTGGGGGCATTCATTAAACAATCAATAAACCATTTGAAGAGGACATCATAATTAGAAGGGTTTTCACAAAACCCTCCCCCCTGAACTTTCAAAATTATGCGAGTCTCGTGAACTATTGGAAATTATCACAAATGTTGTTAATTTGAAGTAAAAGAGATGTAAACTACACATTAATATCTAGGAATCTCAATCAAAGAGAAACTCTCAGTAAAAGGGTTGATTGCTGATAGACCCCTGCACTATTGACTTAACAGTGGATAGACCCTCTCTTGTTCTGTTATCGCAGATAGATCCCATTAGTGATTTTTTTTTTTTTTTGACTCTTCTACCATCAGGTGGTCTCACTACAGGCGTCGATTAGCAATCAGCTGATAGTGAAGGGGGTCTTATCTGCAATTAACTGAAAGAAAAAAGTATATAACATGAAAATTGTCAAAAACATGTCATCTGCAAAGCAACAGGAACATAAACTAACTACTGATAGTATTCTAGTAAAACACTTTCAGAGGGGCTTCTCTTACAAGATTTAGGGAGGTTTTGAACAAAACATGCCAAAAGTTCAGGGGGCGGGTTTTGTGAAATTTACCCTTAAAAAAATGACAATTCAGATATACATACCAAAAGCAAACCCCATCCTGTAGGCATGAATGCAAGAATGCATACGATAATGTCCTGAAATGTCATATGCGGGAGTATAATTAAGATGGCAAGGACAGAAACAAACGTTACAAAGACAAGTCCCTTTATAATCCGGAAAACAAGCTGAAACTCTGCACTGAATTTTCGCCTTCCCATTGATACTACCTGCGAAAGGGAAAGAAAGAGAACAAAAACAGAAGTAAATTTGTAAGGTAATTACACAAAAAAGAGAGGGGGAGGAGGGGTGTATTTGCCGGGGTGGGGGAACAACAATTGTACTAGAATGGTAAAATACATAATCTGAAAGTTGTCTAGCTCAAAGAAAACTGTGTAGTAAGTTCAATCAAACAGAATTCTATATAATTCATCGGTTAGTGATAGAACACTAGTGTGAAAACAGGGTGGGAGGTTGCTTGGGGGTTGGGTGGAAGACATTGAGGCTGTTAGCTGCAGTTAGGAGGCACAACATCAAGGAGATTTGAATACTCTTTGAATACCAAATGATTGATATATGAAACTATATTTGTCAATATTTACTGATCTCGAACTATGTTAAAAATTGTTTTCAGTCGCATCTCCTCCATTATTTAATAACAATTATAGTTCTTGAATAAATTAATCACTTCGTTTTTAAGTCGTGCATTCTCCTAACAAGTTCTCTATATTGTAGTTAAGATTCTAGTTTTTAAAAACTAATGCATGTTTAAGCATTTAAAAAGTCCCTCTAACAACTGAACTTACAAAATAATACTATTGGAATGTGAAGAAGTAGACAGCTGAATTCATCATGTACTTGTGACAATATGGGGTGAAAAATTGTCTCACACTAAGATACTTAAATTGAAAAAAATATACGAATAAATTGTGATGATATTTAACATGAAATATTGCAGAATCAAGATTTATCAAGAAAATTCTTTCAGGAAAATATATAGAAAATTCATAAGCGCAAAGGGATATTATTTTTTGTACGATAAAATACAATTTTAATTTCATAAAGAAAAAAGAATAAAGAGCTTCATGTTGTCACAGTTAAGGCACTGCGTCAAGAGATAAAGGTAAGAGTGAGGATATGAGAAGGGAAAAGGAATGGGAGAGATGAGGGAAAGTTGGGAATATAGAGGAGAAGAGAATGGAGATGGTAGGAAGGACATAAGCTAGTCCAGTTCATATGATTTTTAAGATAGTTCGAGATTAGCCCTCAATAACTCAGCGTAATACTACTTAAATATTCACTATGTGTTATCCCAACGATTAACCTGCCCACTTAGTACAAATTGGTTAGATTGAAATTATAATAGTGACAAACAGTTTTTTTTTTTTAATTCAAGTAGTAGATATACTGGACAAAAAATTTATAGATGTGCATTGTAGTTCTGTACGGTGCAAGTTCTCCAGAAAAAACAGAATCTCAGACGCGTGTGTGCGTGTGCGCGGACGCAAACGTGCGTGTGAGATAACTTCCTAGATAGAATGAACAGTATAAATTTATAAAAAAAAATTAAAAGTGTGATTATGTAAGGGCACCACTAGTCGACAACTTCAAAACCGTTTTGTTTAGTTAGAATCAAGGTTTTAAATATCGGTTATCGGAGAATTATCAGACGGTCAAAATCCATATCGGATAGCAGATATCGGGGATAAGTAGTGTTTATCGAAGTGACATTACCGAATGGTGATATACATAATATAATATTCTAGAATGTAATCTAACCAAACTTAATGAAAAATAAACATACCAAAATATAAATAATTATGTTTAGGATTACTAACCAATAGTAGAAACTCGGTCGAGTTGGGTTTAAAGTGCATTGAATAGGTGTCTGTCGCCCAAAATTAAAACTCAAGCTAAAGGCCGATTTTTAGGCCAACAATATTGGCCGATAACTCACTTTATCACCGTATTATCGGCTATAAACATCCACAAATGATAACCGATTTAGAATCGAACTTATCATAGCGGAAGACCCCCAAAACCGATAAATCACCGATAATATCGTTTTATCGGCCGATATTTAACACATTGGTTAGAATAGTCATTGGGCTCTCACCAACAAAAAAGAAAAAAGATATGACACGAAATACCAAAAGGTAGGTATACACCAAAAAAAGAATAAAATGAAAATAATTTGTTCAAACTGCCGAAATTTTTAACTAATGGGTTTCATCCATTTGACTAGGCATAGCACAACTAAAAAGCATTTGGAAAAATAGATCATTACAATTTACAGTCTGTCAAATCCATGCGTATGGGAAAAATCCACAACTAAGTGCAAAAAAAAAGCAAATAAAAGATATATATACTCTGTACAATCCTCAGAAGAGGATAAGAGAATTGCTCCTTTGAAGCAACTTCAAACACTTACAATAGGGCCTGATGCTATGATGAAAATTCCATAAAATCCAAACTCACCTTCATGACAAGCAAAACTGCAAAGATCACAAGCCAAGAAATACCATAAACCTACAAAACAACAGGTCAACAGCAACCTAATTACTTTCCCTTTATTCACAACTCTGCCTGAATAACAAATACCAAATATTAACTTATATTCACCATACAGTTAAGTTAAAGAGGAGAAACAATTACCAGCACACTTTTAGTCTGTTTTGTTATATTAAGGTGATAGACTAGCCCATATTGGTAAAGGAAGAAGCGCAATGATAAAACTATCTCAGCAATGATCCCACGCTTTCCTGAATACCTCAGATGCTCTTGCTCTTTTTCCCACCAAGATTCCCAACTCTTTTCTGGCGGTACACCAATCCCTCCTCGGTTGCTAATCCACTTATTCCAATCAGTCCAATCATCCACGATTTTTTGCCACTCAAACCCTGAAGGATTGAACAAGAAAGGAGCAAAAAGCCAAGTTCCCACCATGAACCACATTGAAGCAGTTATAAAGATGTATGCTATAGGGGATCTGTACTTTTGGCCAAAGATTTGGTACACAACAAGTAAAATCAACAGTTCTAGACCCTTGACAAAATGACTCCGAGAGTAGTATCTGTAGTTGTCAGCAAACTTGGCATGGAAAACCACAAACCCACGACCTGTAGCTCTATACTCTGCACCTCCATGAAGCAACGTCCTACCATAATAGTGGGTTTTGGTTCCAAGGGAAAATGTAAAGAACACAGAAGCCAACTGTAATTGCATCAGTATAAATTCACTTAGAGCAGTACGAAAACCTCTTTCTAACCCAATTTCCATCATCATGGGTAATGCCATCAGAAATCCAAGTTGCACAAAAGATTGGGAAGCAAGAGCAACTTGAAGAGGCTGGTTATGCATAAATCTTCTTCCAGTGGCCAATCCTTCCTCAAGCCCACTAAGAATGAGATAGAGGCGGCCATACAGAAAAATATATACTGTCAGGACTGTCACCTGTAAAAACAGACCAAAAATAAGAAAAGGGGAAAAATAATAGAGAAGATAGAAATAACTTAAAGACGGCAGGTTGTTTAGAAAATGAAGACTGGGGAATATCACAAGCAGCATACCAAGGTACTGAAGTAAAAACCAACAGTCGTGAAATAGCAAGACATCATCCTAAAGAAATCAAAACGGTGTCCAAGTCTGTATATGTCACGACTAAGTGTCTGCTCCCCATTCCCATTTGCTATCTTTGCTTCAAATAGTGAAATCTGATTAAGACCCACATCTCTTCCCTTACCAACTTGCATGTACTCATGATGAGTAACATTTCCCTCACGAAGGGTGGAATTGAAACCTATCCATATAAAAGCGGCAGATAAACATAAGTACACAATAACAAAGGTATGTTCTTGTTTCCACTATTAGAAAAAAGTTATAGATGAAGGTACATGCCTGCAAATATGTCCTCACTTAAGTTGATAATATTGGATGCTTTACTTACTCCGCCTCTTGTGAGGTGGAAAAGTCTGTCAAACACATCCGGGTGCCCATAATGAAACCGAACCCTGCAAGGGAATAATTCAATACTTCAGAAGATCGTAAATTTTCAACATGCTGGCTATGGTGAAGAAAACACGCAAATCCATGCACGTGCATACATGCATGCTCTAATGCGCAAGCACATCAGATTTAATTCATTGTTGGGGAATCCAATTTTATAATCCACACAGTTAAAGGCTATGTAATCATTTAAAGAGCCTACATATGAAAAATAAAATAATTTATTTTTTTGGTCTATCCTACAAATATGCGAAAATGGATGTCCAAAATTGGGGGTAGAGTACCTCTAGGTCCCTGGCTGTAGAGGACCTCTAGAACTCACCAACCACATCTCCTCACTCAGTGGACCCCATGAATGATATTCATTACATAAATTATATTGAAAGTTTTTTTTATTATAGGGCCCACTAAATGAGCCGATGTTATTAATCCATATGACCAATTGTAGACGCTCTCTACAATCAATGATGTAGAGAATCCTTGCCCCAAAAATGGTACTTAAACTTGAATCTACACTTTAGAGCATAAAAATTTACAAAGCCATGATAATTGACCTACACGCTAGAAAACTTTGGAGTTTGGACCCCAGATTAAGTAATTAACTTCTCGCAATTGAGGCAGTTAATCTTGTGCTTCTCAATCTATGGACAAACACACTTGCAAAACCTTTTATCGTTGGAAGACACTTATGATCTAAATAAAGTTGGAAAAGGTTTGTCTTCAAATCCTTTCGGAAGTGGGCAAGTTTATCTCTATAATGTGAGAGAGGGGTGAAGGAAAAGAACAAAAAAGAAAGAAAGAAATATGAATGAATAAACAAATACTGTTCACAGCGCACAAAATTACTGAACCTTTTTTTATCAGAACCTTTTTTTTTAAGTTACTGTGATGATATACCTGAATAGCTGAAGCCACTTAGGAGTTGGTTGACATAAGTACCGAAAGCTAGCTTTAGGATGCCCCTTGTTAAAGGCCATGCTAACAATCCTTCCACAAAAATTCTATTACACCAAGAAGGTTACCCATAAAACTGTGACAACGTTTAAAATGTACCCTGCAGCCCTAATCACTCAATTACTATCTACCAACTCCTAAATAATGAGAGAAATTGGCATAGCTAAAAAGTAAAATAAACACTCAACCACTGTGAGATAGTCATACATAAAGCCCTATGATAATAACGCTTAAGATGGCAGCTATAGCATAAGAAACAAACCTCAATGGGTTGGCAAGCAACCGCTGTCCGATGGTCACAAAACTTGTTTCTTGGTTCGACATAAACCATGCAAGCGAGGAAACACTGAAAAAGCACCAGGACACTCATAAACAATAGAAAATGAATCTATTTAGAATCCTAGAAGAAGATGTCCAATGCATTAAGAGCCTACCTTCCAGTAAAAATATGTTCTCTAACACCAAGGATTGAAGGATACCTCACACCATCATGTTTTTTTAAAAATTCTTGTAGTAAATTTCTCATTTTGAAGGCCTCTTCCATGTAATTATCCTACAGCGAAGGAAGTCAATCTAGAGACTGAATGATTCAGAATACTAGTCTAAATATATAGACCATGTCCTTTACCTGATTCATATCTATAGTCTGCAAACCTTCACCGCGAGTAAAAATAATGGCATGATTTTGGTTTTCTGGCTTTCCTTCACCCAGAATTGCTGGACCCGGAAGCTTTATCCGATATATAACCTGTGCCCCAAAAGAATTCGGTCAATGAAAACACAATATTCCTTAATAACTTATAATGTTCGAAGCACATACAACAGTACATGTTAATATACAATTAGTTGATTAGTTCTACATATCTTGAGAGAAAATTTCACTAGTAATTCACCCACATGGTGAGAATCTCAATGCTAGTCATATGGTTAGTTCAACATGTTACCACTAATCATGAGCAGAGCACTGCCGAATTGAAACAGCTTATGAGGTGTACACATATGATAAGTATTATGCAGTATGCACAAGGCTGACAAATGTCTGAATGTTGGGGAGACATAGGTGGGCGTTGCTTCTCGAAATTGACCATCATCTGAGCCACAGTAGAGATGACCAGTATGCATGCATTGATATTAGTAAAAAGCAGATAGAATATAAGAGGATTCAGATTCGGCACATATCCCATTGTGTTGTCAGATTCCATTTGTTGTTCTGATAATGTAGTTTTGTCTGAAATAAATTAGTAACTTGACAAAGTAAGAAGCGAATCATTCTTCAATGATTTAGTAGTGAAGCTGAATATTACGCTATGGCTCATACTGCTTGGGAGATGATGTGGTTAAATTCCTTTCCAAGAGATTGTTGTGCTTATTCCTTGACTACAGTGATATCAATGTTTTAAATATCGACCGATAAAACGATATTATCAACGATTTATCAGTTTTGGGGGCCTTCTGCTATGATAAGTTTGATTCTAAATCAGTTATCGTTTATGGATGTTTATAGCCGATAATGTGGCGATAAAGTGAGTTATCGGCCAATATTGTCAGCCTAAAAATCGGGATTATCAGCCTTTAGCTTGAGTTTTAATTTCGGACAACAGGCACGTATTCAATACACTTTAAATCCAATCCGATCTGAGTTTCTACTATTGGTTAGTAATCCTAAACATAATTATTTACATTTTGGTATGTTTATATTATATTTCATTAAGTTTGGTTAGATTACATTCTAGAATATTATATTATGTATATCACCATCCGGTAATGTCACTCTGATAAACACTACTTATCCCCGATATATTCCCGATATTTGCTATCCGATATGAATTTTGACCGTCCGATAAATCGCCGATAATCGATATTTAAAACCTTGGGTGATATACATTGTGATAATCTAAGCTGCAACTTATACGACTAAGAATCAAGTATTTCATGCGAGAATCAAGCATACTATAGCTGATTGTCACTTCATTTCTGATAAGGTGTAGATTATGGAAATGCAACTTCTTCTGTTAGTTTGGCCAGTGTAATTGGAGAAGCTTTCACTGAAGCATTACCAAAAAGATTTTTTAGCTTCTATGTAACAAGATGGATAATTGGACATTATTGATAAATATGCTCTAGCTCAACGAAAATCTGAGAATAAATAAAACTTGACTACTACTCCGAGATCAAGTCGCTTTCCGAGCAAAACGATTTACATATTTTGGACCCTGGCAGCAAGAATGTAGTGCCCAATAGATACATGATGACAGTAGAATTTTGTCAGAACTCATCTTCTATACAAACCCTCTTTACCTACAACAACCACCACCACCACCAAGCCTTTATCCCAAATGTTTGGGGTCGGCTACAAACCTTCTTTACCTCTACAATACTATTTATCAAATCTCGTCTCAATATGGGGGAAAACTACAAATTGTTTACATAAATCTTCTCATACATCATTTTCTGGTTTTGCCAGCCTATTCATTTCCATAAGGTGTTGCTCAAGAAGGAAAATAGCCAATAATTTCTATTTTAGTAAACAAGACTAAAGCAACTACCATGATGCGTTGATGGAATAAGTTAATATTTCACCTGATCAAGATTTTGTACTGCCTCAGCAGGATCGTCAGCCTTTCCCAAAGCAGCCTTCACCAATGCAGAGTAATACACCTTTTCTATTTTTTTAGATCTGTCCTTGCTAGGTTCTTCAACCTCATCAATATAAGCAACACGGAGTGATGGGTATCTGCCAAAAAATATATTATTAGCATGTAAAATTACAAATTTCATTAATGGTGAAAACCAAATGAGAATCCCTACTAACTGTGAAAGGACCCAACCATTACACCAACTCCAGAGTTTTGGTGGGGATTGAGGTTTATATTTTTATATTCTAATGTGCCCTTACAAGTTGAGCACCCTTTTTATGAACAGAAACCTGGACTCACACAGCGGTGTTATTTTTTGGAAAATCTACTTACATTCGTGGTCGGTGGGATTTGAACCTGGGTTGCTCTGATACCATGTGAAATTCCCTAACCAATTACACCAAAACTCTAAAGTTGTGGTGAGGATTGAGGGTCATATTTTTATATTCTAATACTAACATTCTCTGTACCCATATATGGTTATTTCAATAATCATGGAATTTTGGTTGCTGGAACAGTCAATGAGGGAAGTCAACTAGAACAAGCAACCATATTGAAAGATGCTACCATGCAAAGTTCGGAAATTCATGCAAATTCTCAACCATAAAAATGGCCTTTATTTTCATTAAGTTCTTTCAATTTATACAAACTTTATGAATTAAAAGTTCACCACTCATACGTTGTCATGAGCCTTAGAATATCTTGGGCACGAGCATCACCAGATCGCTTATGAATTCCATATTGTTGGCATGAAACTACATATGTGAACTTCATATCAGCTACAGCTTGGCATTGTGCCCACAGAGACCTTCCAACTTTTGAGTGTTCCTCAGATGTTAATTCAGCTGCTTTGTAGCCTTCCATAAGATCTGAAAGAAAGTAAATGTCATTTCTTATGATGCAAACTGGAAAAATCAACTAGGTTAGTGGTCAAAAGAAGCTAGGTGAGTTGCCATTGGATAAGCAGTAAACATACTACTAGACTACCTTCTTCCTTGGCCATATCAAGAAAAGATTGAAGCTCCAAAGCTTTCCGATAGTACATCATTCCCCTAGCTGGAAATTAGGATGAGCTCCACAGTAAGTGAAGATACTTGAGCAACTTTGAGTAAAGAAAGCAAAAAAGCACTGTAAACTTTGCCAAGTTATCGTAATTTCAGCCTCATTTGCAACTTGAGAACTATACCGGTTCTTGTCAACGTCTGACCCCTGTACGATGCCCAAAGACGAAGCTCCTCTTCTAGTTCTTCATTCCGCCTAAGTTCTTCTTCTGATTTGCAGTCTACCCGCTCCAGGAAGTTAGTCCATTCATCTATAATGTGCATAATGATACATGATTAAATAATAAGATCAACAGAATAAAAGCTGCACAGAAAGATCCCATCCAAATTACCACATCACAAAAAAAGAAGGCATAAACAAACCTGGATAGATTTTCTGCAAGTAAAAAAGAATGGAAACTCCATCTTCATTTGGCTCTTCCAGACCACGTACAGAAAAAAGAACATCTTCGGTGTAATAGGGGGTCAAAACCCTGTGATTAAGTGTAATACTCAAGTCATGAGCATATTGTTGCAAAAGATAGATACACCATTAACAGCTAAAGAAAAATATAAGCACAAGTATACAAGGAAAGGGCTATAGCAACTAAGAACATAATGAACTTAATGACAGCTCTTCAGTAAGGTGGATACTTTGCATAAGTTGAAACTCTTCCTTTATAAAAACATGATATTGTGGTAATCAAAGATGAACTGTTAGATATTATAACTAGAATTGGTACTTTGTTGCAACTAAACAGAGTAAAATCATAGACACATTGTTGCAAAAAGATACAAGATTAGCAACAAAGTGTTAAAAGAAAAATATGACCAAAATCATACAAGGAAAGGGTTATAACAAGTTAGCAACTAACAACATAATGAGCTTAATGACGGCTCTTCTACATGGTGGAAGCTTTGCATAAGTTGCAACTGTTCTTTAATAAAACATGATACTGTCGTAAGCAAAGGCGAACTGTCATATATCATGATTAGAATGGGTAGTTTGTTGCAACTTAATAGAGTAAAAGGGTGTGTTTGGGGGGGAAGTTATGGTTGAGTTTAAACCTAACCCCGTTACCAACTTGCCAAACAAAGTATCTCTTAATTTAGATATACTTGGCATTTGAAAAATTATGCACATAACCGCCTAATCAGGATGGTGAAACTAGGGTTAAACTCCCAGCTCCTTGGCGGAGTCAGCTTGTGATAGGACTCCAATCTCATCTAACCTCTAACAGGGAAAAAAAAAGACAGATAACACCAAAATTAACTCCTCTATCAACACAAATACTAAGTGCATTATTGCTACGTAAGTAAAGAATATCAAGTTAAAACAAGGGCCAGAGCTCTAATATAAAAAGACTTACGAGAATGATAACATGTTACGGACTTTTGGAGCGTTGGGCATAGCCATAAACAAAGAGTTAGCGAAAAAAGAGATACGCCTTCTTGCTTCAAGGTTGGTTGGTACATCCATAGCAGATTCCTTGACAGTCAGCAATAAATTAAGTCTTTTGATCTACAATTATCAAGAGGAAGGATCTATTAGATTAAGAGCATAATATTACACGAGTAATACTGCCCAAAAGTACCTTTTCTGTCCAAGCATCGGATTCTGGTAATGGGAACTTGATAGCCTTAGCAGGAGCAAACAACTGAACCTGCTGATCCAATGGTGTCATTCCCTCCTGCCTTCCATATGCACCTCCATGTATGGAATCTAGCAGGCTGTTAAAGAAATTAAAGTTTATATGAGTCTGAATCCAGACAACAGTTAGTAGAACTTTGGCTAGAACTCCTTATTTTTAGTTTTCCATAGAGCCTCCTTGGAGCTTGTGCATAAAAAAGTCAAGTGGAAAAAGAAAGAAAAGTAAAACAAGTAATTTTGACAAAAAAAATTAACCTCAGAAAAGATGTTTTTACTTCCTTTTTTCTCAAAGGAATATTTCAATATTAGCTTTAGGTAAACTATCAAATTATTAAATTGTTAGTTATCCTTGAAAATCAGATAAAGCGTGGCCCAGTGCACAAGGTGTCACCATTGTGGGCTTTGGGGAGGGCCACAGGTACACAGTCTTACCCCAGCTCGTGGAGAGGTTGTTTCCAAGATTCAAAACTGCAACCTCCGGATCATAAGGAAGCAACATTACCATTGCGCCAAGACTCACCCCCATCTTTGAATCTCATATGCCAAAACCTTTATTGCTCAAGAAATCTAAAATTAAAAAAAAATTGACATTATAGGTTATTCTCATTTATTTAATGTGACTGTTCTTCACTATTTGACATCTGTATAGCATTCCTTTACATCCAATGTTTTATAACTTTGTTGTTTTAAGTACAATTACTATCTGATTCTTTGTTACTCAAATTATTTTTCCATCATAATTTTTCTTTCCGACATAGACTCCTTAAACACTAATATTTTTTTCCCGTTTCGCATTTTGCAACATGCATTTATATGGTCAAGAGGGTCAGTGATGGGGGTCGGGGCAGGGCTCCGATCCGAAAGTAGATGGCCCCCGAATGTGTTGCCTTCGGCGCCAACCCGGATCCGATGGGAAAGCACGAGATTTTCGATACTGAATTTTGACAGGTGCTCGAACCTAAACGTGATATAAAAGGGGGAGACGGTAGATTTTTCAGTTGTCGATAACTTTCCAAAGCCATGTTGTAAAACCTTGGCAGCGAGGGATCATAATTCATTAAGGGATAATCGGAGGAGAGTCGGCGATGGCAATACTCAAGTGGGGGTCGTTGTTGGCGTACGCAATTCAAAGGATTGTGGCATTATCGGAGGCGAATGGTGTCAGATCTCAAGGCTGCGGCGGACACTGTTCATCCGTGAACAGTAACTTTTTTTGACTTGTGGTTGAGATCGGATGGCTAGGATTGAAAGTGGAGAAAATTTAAATAAATAGCTAGGCCTTACACCTAGGGGCTTCACACCCCAATAAAAGGCAAATCACATGCCAAAGAACACCGCATATGCTCATAAAGAATTTTCAAACTCAATTTTTTATTCATCAATAGCTATTCCTCATGGAGGATTACATCATTTATTTATAGGAAAAAAAGCAACTAAACACTTAAGGAAGTAAATAAAAATCCTAATCAAATCAAAACCTAACAAAACTAAAAGATGCAATCAAATAAAAACCTAACTAAAATAGAAAGAGATTTCAAAATCAAATCCTAAAGAAATCCTAACTAAAAAGAAGATTACATAGCATAAAATAAAATCCTACCAAAAAAGAAAATATTCTAATAAATCCTAATCGCATTACATGGAGAGTCCACGATTGTCCTACATCAAATCTCCCCTTGTTTGAGAAAACTCAACCTCGAGTTTTATAATGAGAGTGTAATGTTTGACTTGATTGGTGAGAAGAATTCTGTTGTAGATTGGAAAATCTTCAAGATAAACTGTAAAACCTGATATTGAGTTGGTGGTGGAGGGTTTGGAATAACAAACTCAATAACCAGATTATCTTGAAATTTGCGCCGCATATTGAACTTAAGTTCGGTAGGATTGACTTGAGCTCTGGGCTTGATTCAAACTCGAGAGTTAGATCAACCTGCTGCTTTGTTTTTTGTTCCACTCTTGTTTAAGCTTGGCCTGAAGTTCAAGCTCGCACTCTGAATTGATCTTTTAATCTACATATGATTCTAGCTCACGCTCAGGCTCGAGCTTTAGTTCTTGATTAAGTTTTTGATCTGGCTCTTCTTTCTCGTCTTGACTCAAGTAGAGGCTTTGGATCTGGATTGAAATCAAATTTTCATTGAAGACCCATATCTGGCCGGGATTGAGGAATTTGTGTTGGCTTTGCTTCAAAATTTGAAGAGAAACAATATCTTCTAGATGGTGGACTAGAGTACCTTCTCTCCAAAAGAACTTTCATAGTTGTCCACGAACGGATGTTTGAATGATAATAGTTTCTATACCACTAATATTTTGCCTCTTTAGCCTACACTCAGCATATAAATACATTTTCAGTTTTAACATATCATAAATAGGAAATATATCTTCTATATTAAAAATCTAGACGTCAAATTCATAAAGCTTCTCATATCCATCAAATCCATAAAAGTAGGCTAGAATACCAAATTAAGTGGATTAAAATACCCTTGTAAAGGAGGTAGTGGTATTTTACCCCTGATAACCATGGATCCTTCGTCTCTGATATCAAATGATGGGGGTCGGGACAGGGGCTCTGATCCGAAAGTAGATTGCTCTTGAATGTGTTAACTTTGGCGCCAACCCGGATCCGATGGGAAAGCATGAAATTTTCAATAATGTGAATTTTGGCGGGTGCTCGAATCAAATCGTGATATAAAAAGGGGAGATGATAGATTTTTCAGTTGTCGATAACTTTTCAGAACCGTGTTGTAAAACCTTGGCGGCGAGGGATCATAACTCATTAAGGAACGATCAGAAGAGAGACGGGGATGGCGATGCTCAAGCAGGGGTTGTCGTTGGCGTACGCCATCGGAATCGAAAGATTGTGACATCATCAGAGACGAATGGTGTCAGATCTCGAGGCTGCGGTGACACTGTTCATCCGTGAACAGTAACTCAAGGCTGCGGTGACACTGTGGAGAAATTTTAAATTAATAGCTAGGCCTCACACCTAGGGACTTCACACCTAAGGGCTTCACACCCCCAATAAAAAGCAAATCACATGCCAAAAAACACCTCATATGTTCAAGAGAGAATTTTCAAACTCAAATTTTTTATTCACCAACGTCTATTCCTCATGGAGGATCACATCTCTTATTTATAGGAAAAGAAAGCAACTAAACACTTAAGTAAATAAAAATCATAATCAAATCAAAACCTAACAAAACTAAAAGATGCAATCAAATAAAATCCTAGCTAAAATAGAAAGATATTTCAAAATCAAATCCTAAAGAAATCCTAACCAAAAAGAATATTACATAGAATAAAACAAAATCCTACCAAAAAAGGAAAGATTCTAATAAATCCTAATCGCATTACATGGAGAGTCCACGATTATCCTGCATCAGTCAGTATCCAAAACGCAGAGAAAATAGCACGCTATTCTATAAATTTAAATTATAGCAAGTTTTTTTTATCTTCCAGTCACTGATTTTCTGCTCCATAAAAAAGAAACAAAAATTTTAAACATCATCATTTCAAAACTGGGAAAATTGTCCTGATACCCTTACCCAGAGAACTGTTCTTCCATGATGTCCCTCGTCACGACCTCAAGCATATCTTGGAAAAGTATGACAACCTGACCTTTGTCTTCTTGTTTATTATCCATCTGCAAAACAATCATATACAAGCCTAAGACATGATCTCATAAAATCATAATATACTAATACGGAACAAAAAACTCTATAAAGATGTACCAATAATTTGATCAATCTGACAAACTGGTTGTATAAACTAGGGAGAGCACTCATTTTCAGATCAGTAATTAGAGTGTCCTTAGCTATATGATCATCAACTTCAGCAAATATTTGATTTATGACCCTACATACATAGTCAACAAGAAGGGTAAGTCGTAGGAAAATGACAGCCAGTACAAGTAAAAAAACATAACTTGGTAATAGCAGATATAATACAAGCTAAACAAGGAACAAAATCTTGTAATAAGTTCTTACTCTTTCTCTCGTTGCCCTTCAACTAAATATTTAATAATGTTTTTAAATGATGCATAGCACTCTCGAACAGCACAAAACATATAATCATCTGAATTGATTCTCTTCTTCAACTCACGGTCTTTTCCATTGCTATCTTTCGCCATATCCAGTGCAATTGGTATCTAGACAAAACATAGTACAAGTACATCAAACAGTGAATCAAAAAGCTAACTCTTTAGTTATAGAGGGATATATTTAATCAGAGACCTTGCTGGCTAGAAGGAAAGGAGGCCACTGGATGAGGTCCAAATCTCGATCAGCCCAATAAGGAACAAGCAACAAATCCATTTCCCTGTAATTCATTGACTAACACTATGTTAACGCGTACAGGACTACTAAAACTAGGTCTAGAGCATACATTAATTATTCAATAGTACCTATTGCTTATCAGATCTTCTTCTCGGAAGCTGGTAATTATTTTGTTCCATACTTGAGCGAATTTCACCACGTCCTTACTAGCTGGTACCTGACATAGCCAATAGTCTTGACCAAATTAGTCAGACTCTGACAGCGAACCACAATAAACTTTATTTAAACATTTGAAGGGACAACAATGGACCAAGGTGACAACCTTAGTGAATTTTCCACATAAAGCGCCACATAGAGAATTCAACAATCTCTTTGTTCTGGCTTCAGATTTTTCCACTGGAATCAAGTTGTCATTGAAGGCACCAGGTAATGATTGAAATCGAGATCGCAACATTCCCAAAGTCCGAATCTGTGTTCAAATCAATGTGCAGAACTTTAGAATTCGAAAAAACTGAAATGCCAATATTCACTGTGGAAGCATAAAATAATAGCCATCAGCCGTCACCAAAACTTAGGACTTGAGTGAAAGGGATTTTTAACATAATAGCAAGTTCAAATCCCATCAACCACAAATTTAAAAATGGACAACCCGCACTAAAATTGAAGATGCTGTGATTCCAAGTTTCGGCCCATCAAAAGGGCGCTCAACCTGCGGTGGCATGTTAATGTTATAATATAAAACCATAACATTGAACACCCGCACTAAAATTTTGTAGTTTCGGTCTAGTGGAAGGACCCTTAACACTCATCACCTTTAACTTTGAAGAACTAGGGGAAAGCCAAGAGAAAAAGGAAAAAAAAATCAAATGTGTTCCATGATCCACATGCATGCTCAACCCTCACCAAAATTTTGTAGTTTTGGTCTAGTGGAAGGGACCTTTAACATCCATCACCTTTGACTTTAAAAAACTTCTAGGGAAAAAGACCAGAGAAAAAAAAATCAAATGTGTTCCATGATCCACATGCATAGTTTATTACCGTGACTCTAACTAAATTAATTGCACATCAAAAAAACAAATTCCTATCAAAGAAGTAAAGGAAAAGGGAATTTTTTGTATACATAGTTAACACATGTAAAACTTCTATCTTTCATTCATTTCCTTTTTATTTACTTTTCTTTCCTTTTTTTTTTTTTTTTTTTTTTTTTCAATGAAAGCAACAGCAGATCAGAAAGCATTCATCTAGAACATCTGTAAAAGATTCGCAGGTATGATTAGGTTGAAAAACCCTTACAAAACTGATCTTACTATAATTCTTTCAACAACTGTTTGTCGATTGTTCTTTTACTCAATAACCAAAATAGGCATTGGGTAAACAAACAATAACATTTCCTTAGATATCAGAACTGGGATGTTATTTGGAGGGCTAATGTTATGAATGGCAGCTCATATAAACGTGTTTGATTATTCTTTTACTCAGAAACAAAACCAAACATTGGGTTAACTAATCATGACAACTGACATGCTAAAACTACCAAAACTAGGACGTCTGTTAGAGGGCCAATATTGTTAATGGCAGCTGTGTGAGAGAGAGAGAGAGAGAGAATAACTTAAGTGCAAATCTGTCAGATTCCGATGTCTAGTGGAAGGGACCTTTAACATCCATCACCTTTGACTTTAAAAAACTTCTAGGGAAAAAGACCAGAGAAAAAAAAATCAAATGTGTTCCATGATCCACATGCATAGTTTATTACCGTGACTCTAACTAAATTAATTGCACATCAAAAAAACAAATTCCTATCAAAGAAGTAAAGGAAAAGGGAATTTTTTGTATACATAGTTAACACATGTAAAACTTCTATCTTTCATTCATTTCCTTTTTATTTACTTTTCTTTCCTTTTTTTTTTTTTTTTTTGCTTGTACAATGAAAGCAACAGCAGATCAGAAAGCATTCATCTAGAACATCTGTAAAAGATTCGCAGGTATGATTAGGTTGAAAAACCCTTACAAAACTGATCTTACTATAATTCTTTCAACAACTGTTTGTCGATTGTTCTTTTACTCAATAACCAAAATAGGCATTGGGTAAACAAACAATAACATTTCCTTAGATATCAGAACTGGGATGTTATTTGGAGGGCTAATGTTATGAATGGCAGCTCATATAAACGTGTTTGATTATTCTTTTACTCAGAAACAAAACCAAACATTGGGTTAACTAATCATGACAACTGACATGCTAAAACTACCAAAACTAGGACGTCTGTTAGAGGGCCAATATTGTTAATGGCAGCTGTGTGAGAGAGAGAGAGAGAGAGAATAACTTAAGTGCAAATCTGTCAGATTCCGATCCCATGCTGGGCAACTGAATCTGAACACTTGCTCTAAGTCACACAAATCGAGAATGCAAACCTCAGATGATGATCTAAACACCATAATGTCTTTGCAAATCAAGACTTGTTGAGTTTGCCACATAATATCTTTGCAAAACAAGGCTTGTTGAATTGCGACATTCTAGGCCTTTGACTATGCAACTTGCTCTCATGTTCTTTTTCTGGCCTATCCAGCGCGTTCACCGACCCATTGTTGGGCTTCAATTAAAATGAATCCCAAATGTAACCTATTACTGGATTTTTAAATTATCCACGCTCTGTCCGTCACAACCTAGAACATAAATAGAGGGCTCCAATTTGCACAAACACATATGGTGTTCTTAAAGCTAAATATTTGGTGGAAGGTGGTAATGTAACTCTGCTTACCAACTTAACTTAGTTACACCACAATATATTGTATCCTGTCCCATTTATACAGGCATATATGTACTTATCATTTATGGTGTACTAAGAGTGTATACATGTGTTTGTGCATATGGAAAAAGAGGGTACAAAGTGCAGCTCATTTTGCTAGACAAGAAACCAAGAGATAGAGATGGGGTTAGGCATACCCTTGCAGGTCACATTTGAAGGTGTGGATCTCACCACCTTTTATCTCTTGGTACCTCATTTTGCTAATTGAGACGCCACCTCATAACCATCAAATCCTATATATAACTAAGAGAATGATTTGCTAACCTCTCCAAGACGACGCATAGCCCCATAGATACCACCGACTAATGTGGAGTAAATTGCATACCATATCTGGGTATCCATAAAATAAACCTGCAAGTATTATAGCAGGAAAGGGTAAGCAAAAAAGAAGAAAATGAATTATAGCATTAGATTCAGGATAGGTAGTAGCATACAAGGATAATTGGAGCCCAAAGCGCAATCACAACACCAATATTGTCCTTAGCTGTGGAGCGAACATAATCACATGATAAATACACATAGCATCAAAAAATTAAAATAATTGCATCAATCTAGCTACCTCTGGGAAAAAACTCATGCCACTGATAAGTTGTTATTGGCTGCCTCATGATATCTTTTGTCGGACCTATTAGAGGCTTAATCTGCAATGACAAGTATGGTCAAACCAATTTCTGAATAACTATGAGCACACCATCATCAGCCATCTCTACAGTAGATGCATAACAATTGTATCATCATAAGTTAGGAATAAGCGTACACTGCATGAATGCTTAGCTCCAACTTTTCTTATATAAATTGAATAAATCTCACAAGCACACCCAACCCTTAAAAAGAGTTCAGATATGAAAGCATACTTAATGGAGACTCAGGAAACAATAAGGATCAGTACCTCAATGTAGAAACTAACTACCAACTTCGTAGATATAAGGAGCATCCAGAAGATTGTATACCTGAAATCAGGAATTAAGGACAAATTTTCAAAACCAACCCTTTTAGAACTTTATTTTTAAAAATCGACCTATTTATCTTTTGTTTAGCATTTTCTACCAATTTGTAGCCAGTTGGCTAAAACTAGGTCAAAAATGCTAAATAAGTTGCGAAAACTTCACAGGATTTAGAATCCCGTGAAGTTTAGTCCTTAGTTAATCAGCTAAACAAAAAAGCTTGGCACATGTGGTGATCTGCTACCAAACTTCACGAAATTCAGAATTTCATGAAGTTTATAATAAACATACTGCACAAAATAAACAATTATGTATAGTGGGTTCAGTTGTTATCGCATTAGCCTATAAGGCTTGGATGGAAAGCACAGGGTTCGAATCCCAGCCTAGTATTTTTTTTTTTACTGTTCAAGGAAAAATATGTGGGGAAAAAATATGTTGGGTGAGATTCAAACTCAAGGCCACTTGAGTGATTGAAGTCTAGCTTTCTTTGAGCTAATCACTTAGCTCACTATTACAATCGTTTCAAATTCGAACTTGAAATTATATATTGAACTTCCCGAGATTCTAAATCCTAGGGAATTTAGCCTAATTCTAAACTACATGGGACTGAGAATCCCATGCAGTTTAATTGTCTGCTAAACTTCACACGACACGGAATTCTAAATTCCGTTTAGTTTTAGCAACTTATTTCGCATTTTCGACCCAATTTCAGTCAGCTAAACTACACGGGATTCTAAATCTAGTGGAGTTTTAGCAACTACTTTCGACCATTAAAAATCCAAATGACAAATTTTCAAAACCAACCCTTTTTTAGATTTATTTTCAAAAATCAACCTATTTGAGATTTACGTAGCATTTTCGACCTTTTTTCATCCAACTGGCTGAAACTAGGTCAAAATGCGAAATAAGTTGCTAAAATTTCAGTGAATTTAGAATCCCGTGTAGTTTAGCAGGCAATTAAACTGCACAGGATTCTCCCGTGTAGTTTAGAATTAGGCTAAACTCCCTGGGACATAGAATCCTAGGAAGTTCAATATATAATTTTAAGTTCGAATTTAAAATGATTGCAATAGTTGGCTAAGCAGTTACCTCAAAGAATGCTAGACTTCAATCAGTAAAAAAAAAATTTACTAGGCTGGCATTCGAAAAACCATGTGCTTTTCCTCCAATCCTTATAGGCTAATGCTATAATCTCTAAACCCACTACACATAATTGCTTATTTTATGTAGTTTGTTTATTATAAACTTCATGAGATTTAAAATTCCGTGAAGTTCGGTTGCAGATCACCACTTGTGCCAAGTTTTTTCGCTTAGCTGATTAATTAAGGACTAAACTTCACGGGATTGTAAATCGTATGAAGGTTTCGCAACTTATTTAGCATTTTCGACCTAGCTAGCTGAAACTAGGTCGAAAATGCTAAATAAAAGATAAATAGGTTGATTTTTGAAAATAAAGTTCTAAAAGGGTTAGTTTTGAAAATATCCGGAATTAAAATAAGAAGCCTAGACTATATTGACAATCAAAAAATTGATGGAAGGAGTTCAGACATACATGGCAAGCGAACATGCACCTTCATGCATACCCCTTCCGACGTAGAGACGAGGCTGCCGGAAAATAAAAGAAATAGTGCATTTCCATAAATATAAAGTATGTGAAGTGCAAATATTGAAATTAGAAAAATGAAAGAATAGATGTTTAATTAGCTAAAAAGAAGAAGCAAGTGATAATGTCGCAGAGACACTTTTCAAAATACCTGGGACCACCACATCATAAGGGTTATAACCTTATAATTTGATCTTTCAAGAAACCGTCTCAGAAGGGGGAAAAGAAATAATAAAAGGCCAAGCATATTTGGTGACAGATATATAACAACAGCCAAAATATAGAGTGAAGGCTGATTCTGGCCATTTCCAAGCCAGCTCTTGATAGTCCTTGATAAGCCAGTAGGGTTTTCTGAACTATAAGCGTATGTTATAGGCAAAATTATCACCCATGCAGCACCAGAGATGACCTTCAGAACGTATCGAAGTTTAACTGCAAAAGACATGCTTCTCCTCGCTTTCCAGCTAAAAATAATATCCAGCACAGCTGCAAAACGGAAAAAAATCTTAAGTATAAAAAAGATATCCAGGAAATATTATTATCTCAACTAGAAAATTGACAACAGTTTAAACTGCTAGGAAAATTCCGCATAAAATAAGTGTTACTTGAGTCAGACAGTCGCATAACAGATGTACTGCCTACCAAGACAAGAAAGTTCCGACAGACGGTGATATAAATACTACCACTAAATGTTGGTACACATAAAGGTACAAGAGGAAAATGTAAACCCCAAAAGTTTGCATTTTACCTTGACCTAGCTTCAGTATTGCAGCTGTTATAAAAATACTGAGAACCTCCTTAAATACTCCATTATTAAACAAAGGCTTTGATGAGTCAGCATTCCAGGCGATGATGATCATAGCCTTTAGAAACAAGAACAAATTCAGTACCAAAGTATATGCCTTATGAGAAGAGTGAAAAGAATTTCAAGCACGGAATAAATACTTGTAAACATAAGATATAGAAGCTCCACATTCTATCAAAACTTCGATAAACATGCCAAAACGAACGAATTTCCACAAAATTGATCTTTCCGATCCATCTGTCACCACTACTGGGCTTGTTGTCCTGAATATATGAAAAAGAGAATTAGAAAATGCTATAAGAATTTCACATGAACTAAAACAACAGTAAATTTCAAGAACTTCTAGTGACACTCGTGAAACAAGGGTGTGCTCTCACTCGCCGTATGTGGGGAACATGTGTCCCAAACCCTAAAACCAGCCGAAAACCTAAACATACCCCAACCGGTTTCCGTTTAATTTTCACAGGTGTCCAAGGACAGTCATCCTTAGACTTCCCCCTAAATTTCATATGAAAGCAGAAACATTACAAAATGTAAACGTAAAGCGAGATAATTCTTATGAAGCAAAGTAGCATAATAACAAAAATTGACAGAATCGTGAGTTGATGCTATGCAATTGCATAGCCTAAATTATAACCACTAAAACCAGCCGAAAACCTGAACATACCCCAACCGGTTTCCGTTTAATTTTCACAGGTGTCCAAGGACAGTCATCCTTAGACTTCCCCCTAAATTTCATATGAAAGCAGAAACATTACAAAATGTAAACGTAAAGCGAGATAATTCTTATGAAGCAAAGTAGCATAATAACAAAAATTGACAGAATCGTGAGTTGATGCTATGCAATTGCATAGCCTAAATTATAACCAAGACCTTTTCTCCTTTTCTCCATTTCTGATTTTTTTTGTGGTGTGGTGGTTCTTTTTTCTTTTACCTTTTTTTTTTTTCGTGTGTTAAAACCAGCCGAAAACCTGAACATACCCCAACCGGTTTCCGTTTAATTTTCACAGGTGTCCAAGGACAGTCATCCTTAGACTTCCCCCTAAATTTCATATTCATAAAACCATGCATAAAAAACTAAGAGCAAATGCATATATCTCCTATAATATTAATCTGACTACTGAAGAAAGCCAAAACATTCAATTTGAAGGGAATATTCAATGAAGGAACAGAGCACTGAATTTTTTTAAATGAAGGATAAAAAGAATGTGCACACAACTTACTCCAGTATTTTCGCGATTGAAAAAATCAGCATCAGCTCTCATAGGCCAGCCTAGGCGAAAACAACGAACTGACCTGATTTTATTCACAAAATAATATCAGTTGAAAAGTACTAAGAACTATTTCAAAATGAGAGTTTCTTTCAGCCTTACCAAAAATACTCATTTAAATCATCATAGTTCCTCCACTGTGAATGTTTTGATTTTTCTCTCTTGCTCCTTTCGGCTTCCTGCATCAAAAAAATTACTCAACAAAAAACATATAGGAAAAGATCGTAACCAAGCAAACAGAACGTACCTTTGCTATAGTCTGATATATAGGAGTGACAACTTTCTGTAGAAAGGCCTCTTCCTCCCCACCGTAGGCTGGCTTTATGTTCTCACCAGTCATTGGGCTTACATTTCCAGCTAGCATGCCATATAGTTCAAATGCCATCTAAAATTGCAGAAAACAAACAGCTATAGTAGACTACCAATCAATGTCAGCAACAATAGAACTAATCCTTATGTCTAAAGTTCTAGGAACCAGGATACAAGAGAATCACATGAAAGGATCAATTTAGCAGCTTCTTTCCAACATGAGTTGGGCAGACCATAGAAAAATGGTCATAGTTATGATAACTATGAAAAAAATACCTGATTGATTTCCTAATATGGATGTTTGAGAATAAAATTATAACCTCAACCCATCCATAAACTTAGGAGTTTTAGTTTAGTGAAAGGAAACTTTAATATGCTACCAGAGCAAGCTAGCTTCCCACCAGCCTTCTATTTAAGAAGATTTAACAAAAAAGACATTGTTGTGTGGGTCCCTGTTTCGGCCCATGAAAAGGGTGTTTAACATTGAGGGACATCTTTGCCTTGTTTCAATTTTGAACTTCATTCCTTTGGTAGTCAATATATTACCTATAGATTAGCTGAGGATTTCCCCCCTTCGTATTTTCTTTCAACTAGACATATCATGTCACATAATGTCAATTTTTTCAGCTACATTCAAGCAACCTTCTTTGTCTACTATTCATCACAACTCCTCTCCTCCACTTCTTAATTGGAACATCCAATACTATTCATGACACTTAGAAACATTGTGTATTAACCGATCTACCCTCCTAATAAGGGAGAAATGACTTTGATTATTAATTAAAACCAGTTTTCAAGTATGTCAAACACTCATTTCTCTTTTTAGTTTTTACAACATTTTATAGCTATCATAAGGTCATGTGATATTGGGGGGAAAACAAAATAATGGTTCCAACTGCTATCGTAAGGAGTATGCAGTAATTAATGTTCAAGAATAAAAACATTGCCTTAAAAAGGTTCACGAATATTTTTTATATTCAAAGAACAAACCCTACATGATGATAGATGTAGCATAGGCACTCTGGCATAAAACGCAAGTTGGCAGCTTCACCCCATATAAGAAGGTAAAGACCCATATACAGTAGCTTACGTTGTTGAACTTCCTGCTGGATAGTAGGCAACCTGCAAGTTCAGTATCACAATACGTATCAAAATGACGAAGAGGGAAAATTATGGCCCTAGAACAATGCTGAGATGAGTCATTATGCTCCTC